GCTTTTCACTCTCTGCACAGGTGGTTGGCATCCTGTGGGCACAACCGTAGGATCTCAGAGTGGGCACGGGCCAAATTGTCCTCCTGATGATGGAACAAGAAGATTAACTGGGCTGGGATCCCATTACAGCGAAGTCTGTGATACTGATTAACTCCTGCTGTGACTTTCCCTCGCAGCCCCATCCCTCCAAGGTCTGGCTCACATGTCAGTCCATGGTCCTCATCATGCCTCTACCTCTAACTCACAACATACAGGCGTCTTGTTCACTCACCCAGTAGATTCTATGATCCTGGAGGGTATTCTCTGAGCCTTATTAAACCTCCAAGTCTGTGCCCAAAGTTACAACGTGCTCCTGGTCAGGGCAGGGCTAGAACCAGGTGAGCAGGGGAGACCCCAGGGTGTGAAATTCAAGGAGGTCCACACTCTTGGGCTCCCACATGCCCAGATCAACCCCTGAGAATGAATGCTTTCTAATGATTTAAACCGCCTAGCAGGCTCACACCAGTCCTAGCCCTGGGGAAATGGGAGCGGGAAGGAAAGAATATTAATTGCTGAGAACCAACCAGGTAGAGGCACTACATTATTTCATTTATCCTCAAAGTAATCCTATAAAATAGATACTGACACCCTCATCTATTAAACATGAAGGAACTGAGGCTTGGTACCGGTTTGTGCCTTATTGATGGTCCCAGAAGGAATACCACGGAGCCTGAACTTGAACCCCAGATCTTCCTTCTGCCAAAGCCCTGCTCACTGTACTACACCACACCGCCTCCAGCAAGAGTATGGCTGTGTCCCTGGCCAGGTAACCATGCCTTGGAAAGGAAACTCTTGGAGGGCACTGAGGCCCCACCATTCTAGACAGGAAGAGGGCAGGTGGTGTTCTGTCCAGTGCCCCCAGATCTGGCTCAGTAGGTGTGGCTGGAGCCTGGGAATCTGTTTACCGAGATCTGCAGCTAGTCTCCGTGTACAGGTGGTAGGGACATCGCCTCCCTTTGCAGCACCTTGTGTCACCTCACCATTTAGAACCAGGAAGTCCTCCTTTAGGTCAGCCCTAATCCTCAGGCCTTTTACTGCAAACCCCTTTCCTCCTACCTCGGCCTTCTTGGAGACTCTCTGCATGGGCTTCCAGCCCTGGTGAACAGGCTGCCAAATCATGCTGCTACTATTAGCACTCGGGGGACCCCTGGGAGCAGCAGCCACCACTAGAGAAGCCTGTTTGGCCAGTGCCCCAGGCTGCAGGAGCCCCAGTAGGGGCCTGGTGCTGCCCCTGTTGCTCTGCACCGAGTTAGAGAGCGCTGAGCGGCAGGCCGATAAGGATGGGGGTCTTTTCTGAATCCCCAGGCATCACTCCTGTGGGTCTCATCTTCATTTCTATACTCCCTTTCCACCGTGTCACCACCAGGGAGTGCAGCCCAGCTGGCCTGGCACCAGGCAGGGAAGGAGAGGATGCATGGAGAATGTCAACTAGGGAGAGCTGGTGCCTGGGCCAGCCTGAGGGGCCTCTTGTGCTCCCAGCCACCCCCACCCCTGCAGCAGCAGAGCCAGTGGCAGCCAGAGCCCCAGTCACAGGCCAGACTTTCAGAATGGGGAACAAAGGATCCAGCCCCAGGATGGGTTCCAGGCTGGTGAGATCAGCAGGTGGCCCACGTGGAGCCAACCTGTCTACTCAGAGAAGAGACCAGAGGCCCTCCCAGTAAATTGGACTGGGGGAGGGTTGCCAGCCCCTCCCTGCTACCACCACCCTCATTACCTCACACGTGACCTAAGGCCTCAGGTCACCGTCCTCAGCTGCCCTTCCTGCCCCCAACCCCTCCAGGCCATTCACCTTCCCCGCAGAGCTCCACCTCTGAGCTGGGTTCAACCTGCCCTGCCTCCCTGGCCTGCTCCCACCCTCTTCTGCCTCCGGGTCTGTGCCAGGCCTTGGGAAGATTCTCTGCTGCTCCTCGTGCACCCATATTCTCCCATCTCCTGCCCACCACCCCTGCCCACCCCAGCCCCTGTGCCCACCTCCCACGGTTCTGTTCTTCAACTGCCAACCATCGATTTACCTGCAAGATCCATTTCAAATGTGCCTCCTCCTTCTCCTTCTGTATCTCCTAACCTTTGACCTCCTGGGGCCCTCGGCCTAGTGGTCAGCCATTTGTTTTGCTCCCCTCACACAGCCCAAGTCCATCTGAGTTCCATGGGGGTGCAGAACCTGGGTGCAGAGCACTCTACCTGAATCTTTGTATTTCCCCCTCACCCACGGAGCCCCACCATGTCCACAGCTCCTCCCGCACATGAGTGTTGTTAATAGACCATAACTGAGTCCAGATATGAGACTGTCCGTGGGTTTTGATGCTGCAGAAGTTTCTCTCTTTAGAAGATCATCAAAGAAAGGAAGTTCTGCCTCACATCTAGCTTCACTCCACCCTACCTGGGGCCCATTTTCCTTCCTCGGTGGAGATGGAAAGCAGTGGATTATCTTCTCTAAAATAATACCCTTCTCAGGCTGAACACTATCATTAAGTCACCTTTGAGCCACCTTTCTTCTTCAGGCTAAATAATCCCACTTCTTTTCATGTGCCTTCAAAATATTCCTCGCCGCCCTGTAATTAGCTTGGCAACACTTCTGAATTCTCCCCAAACTCTCACACCCAGAACAAAGAAGAGACTTGATGGTAAAAGGGAAGGAACTGAACTGAGGGCCTACTGTGTGCCCCGACTCCCCCTGACTACACTTAATCTTCCTAACAACCCACGGGTTCTCGTCTCTTCGCCCCATTTTACAGACGAGGAAACAGAAACTCAATAGGGTAGACAGAGCTTCTCAACCTTCCCACTGTGGACACTAGGGGCCAGATGACCCTTTGTTGTGGGGGAGCTGGGGGCTGTCCTGCACACTGTAGGATGTTTAGCAGTGCCCCTGGCGTCTGCCCACTGGATGCCAGGAGCTACGTCTTCCCACAACTGTGACAACAAAAAATGTATCCAGATTTTACCAGATGACCTGGGGCCGGAGAGGGAGGGCAAAATCACCTCCAGCTGAAAACTACTTTGTTAAAGGAATTTTCCAGAAATCAATCAACTCGTAAGTAAAAGAGACTAAACTCAAATCTGTCAGCTTCAAGGAATTTCCTTCCTACTACCCCCGTACAACCTCCTAAGATAAAGTCTTACCTGGGAAAACAATAGGAGAAAGCCATTATGTTTTCTACTTTTATCACTCCCGATCCCAGCATTTAATCTTCTATATGTGTCACTGGGATCAGCTAATAGATTACTTTGCTCCAAATCTAACCCACACTATGTTTACCCATACTCAATTTGAAAGCATTACCTTGGGTCCACTGTGACCACAGGAACTCCCCCGCTCCCAATTAATTGTTCAGTATCATTGACTTTAGTGTTAGCAGAGAAAATAGGAAACAGATGCCCCTCCTCCTAGAGCAAAAGGTCTAACCCGGGGGCTGGATATACACATGAGCAATTCTCACACTTACTGAGAAATGCACAGACCATTCTGCACTGTCCCTAAGCAGGCTGTTGGAAAGTAGGAACACGACGTCCACCGAGCAGTTGCTGAGACTGAAGATGCCAAACAGTCGGTCTAAGGAGTCAGTTGAGACCAGCCTTTGGCACAGTGAAGATGCTGCCATAAACCGAAGCAGATGAATATTGTGGACAGCGAGTTGTGAGGGGGACGTGCGTACGGATGGGACACAGGGTTATGGAACCAGGTGTCTGTGTGCTGCATTTGCTAATTTGAAACACGAGACTAGACTGGAGCTGCACTGTCCTCTGAAGCAGCCTCCCTGGCCCCACCTCCCCCTCCTCTGTCCCAGGTGTCAAGGGTGGGAAGACACCAGCTTGGCACACAGTGAACTTTTCCGCCTTGTTCTCCTGGCATCCACCCCAAACCACACCAGGCCTGTGACAGCTCCTGCATTCCCTTCCACCCATCCAAATCTGACTTACCTGCCCTCCTTTCATCCCGCCACCCACTCTCCACCCTGGCAAAGCAGTCGGCTGATCTGACCCAAACACTCCCCCTTTCCCGTCTGCGGTTCCATTTTCTTCTCCATTCTTCCCAACATGCATCTTCAAAGAGGTTGCTCTGTACCAGGCACCATGGAGGGACTGGAGAGCAGCAGGGGACAAAGCAGGCAGAAATCCTTGCCCTCGTCCTGGGCGGGAGACACTGACGTTCTGGTCACGGTTGCCACCTGAATGGTTTGGCCTCGCACGTTCCATCTTGAACTTCATAAATTCAGCCCTTCCTTGAGCCTGAGGTCATGTACCTTGCCTCCTCCATGAAGCTCTCCTCTTTCAGCGCAGGCAGTGTCCCTTCTCCTCACTCCCGGTCGACCTGGGCAGCTGTTGCATAGCAGAATCACCTTTTCTTATCCTGGTGTGTCTGTCCTCTCTCCCAACTCAATGTAAGGTCCCAGGAGGGCAGGGACTCTGCTTTATCTCCAGACCTGCAGCCCCTAGCAGAGTGTCTGGCACCAAGAAGCCATAACAGCATATGAGAAAAATAAGAATAATAACTCATCTGGATAGCACGCTTTAAAGGGCCAGCCATGGCTTGTGAGTACTGAATACCTATCCGCTCATTTGATCCCGACTACAAGCCTATGGAGCCACTGGGGGCGCACACAGGAAGTGGAAACACAGGTGGAGGTGGCTTGGTGGTGGTGGCAGCGGCAGAACGGCTAATTCCCAGTGCCAGGGGAGCAGAGCAGGTGGATTCAGAGTGAAGCTTTGGAGCAGGACCCGGACTGGAGTCCTGGCTTCGTCACTTACCAGCTGGGTGACCCTGGGCAAGTGGCTTTTCTTTCCTTGGCTTTGTTTCCTTAACTGTAAAATGGGGACAATTATAGCGCCCATGTCTAGAGGTATCTGCCAACCACGTGAACGAACGCAGGCAGCGCACCCCAGCCTACAGTTTGACACTGGAAACACTCAGCGCGTGGTGCCAGCTGTTTTTATTGCTATTATTATGATGATAGCCCTCTTCCAAGAATCACCCACACCCGCTTCCGGTTCTCCCCCACCCCAACACTTTCTTCCCACCCTCAACTGAGTGGAGGAAAATCTAAGTGCAACGTACTAAGACACACTCTTCCGTTTCTACCTCATTCCTCCTCTTCCAACAAATGAGCTCTGAAACAAAATAGATCCCAGAGCCATCGACAGTAGCCCAGACCCTTGGGACCAGAGAGGGGGTGGAAGCTCTGCTCAGGCGGGCGTTGACAGAGCATTGAGGACTCAGAATCCAGGAGGACAGCCCAGGGAGCCAGGCTGCATGTGAGATGGCTATCGTCTCTTCTCTGCCACTGCGGAAATCAGCTGGGCTCTTTCCTGAGAAATCTGATGCTGCTGTAAAAAATAATAATAATAAAAATGCACAGCAGCTTCAAATGTGGGCATAAAGCGATCTCCCTGGGGAAGCGGCTCTAGTTATGTCCGCTACTAATACTCAGGGTTCGTTCAACAACTGTTTCTTTGTGTTGTTCAGCTCCCCAGCGCACGACCCGTGTTCGATCCGTGTTTTGCAGGGGACCAGGAGTGCTAACCTCCCTGCATTTCTCCTCCTTTCACAGCAGTTGGGATCCATGGCAGCCTTCTTCTCCCGGGCTTTCATCTCTGCATCCCTCCATTTCTGCCTGCAGCAGTGAAGCATCAATTATACACTCCAATTATGTGATTATACATATTTTCACTAATTAATAATAATTCTTGCTACGCATCCCGCCAACTCCCGTTGGAGGACTTCAGAGGGCATTTCAGAGGATAACTGCGGCTTTACCACCTGCGGGGAATGAACTGGGCTATAGAACTCTGGGGATAAAAGGGAAACTGAGGCACCACCATGTACCTTCAGGAAGTCTGTGACAGAGGCAACCACTGAATCTAATACTTGGCTTTGTCTTGGCAGAGGATTTGTTCAAGCAGATGGCCCACTGGATGGGGAGATGGCAGGAAGAAGAAAGTAATTTATTAGCCCAGGGATAGTACTTTGTAGGTGTTCATTTGGCTGTCATTAAGGTTCAAAGTTCCTCTTATTTACAGAAATCTGGATGTTTTGGATACACATTATACTATGACTTCTCCTCTTGAGACTACATGTGGGGAAGGAAAGTGACTTTATGATCTAATAAAAGCTTAGCTCTATTTCCCAGAGTCCTATGCAGGAGGGGACTGATCTGGTATACTCAGGCAGAAGCCTGAAACCCAGAACCAATGAAAACCAAGTGTATCCCTCAATATCATGTCCATTGTCAAATTTAATCCTCAAAACGAGATCGTAAGGCAAATTTTACTGTCCCCATATTACAGAGGAATTCAGTTTCTTAAGAGTGACTTATCCAAAGTCACGCTGACTATAAGTGACACAACTGTGACTAAACCCAGGTTCCAGTACATTCCAGAACCTGTGCCTTTTCCACTGTGTCATGTCGATAGCACAACCAATTAGTGGCAGAAGACTCCAGCACTTTGATGCATATGACAAATCCTGAGCTCTAGGAATCAGAGATAAGCCAAACTGACAAAGAGAACAAGACATTCCACACTTAAGCCGAGTCTTCCTGAAGCCAGATTTCATTTTGATTGGGGCACTTAGACAGCAGTCCTAGTCATCGAAAAAAAAAATCAATCAAAGCAGTTTTCAGACTGAACAGACTGGTCAGTTGATGGACCCCACCAGCCCAAATCAATTCGTTCATCCAGACTGAGTTAAAACCTTGGTGCCAGCAAGTTGAGTGATGTTGAGATTCAGCCGCACACTCAGCTGCAGAGACTGTGCAGAACTTGGTCCATTCTATGTGTGGACCAGCCCCTCCCCCATAGCCCGACTGCAAGGGGCTGGGGACAGCAGAGATAGCCGGGAGCCCTGAGCCCTCATAGACTTGGAGAGTCCAGGCAGGCTCAGACCTTATGCCCAGGAACAGAAAACCTAATAAAAGGAAGTGAGGCTCTGAGTCTGCCGCCTGCCACTCTGTCTATCAGTGTTTCACCCCAGAGGGATCTGCTCGGCAGGGGAGCCCAACAAGGCAGGAGCCGGGCTCTGAATCATCCTCAGGTCTGAGAACCCTGCCTGTCACTTGCCCTAACTGCTCTGGAAAAATGACAGAATCTCAGCATTCTAGCTCCAGCTCAGAAATGTATGCTCGTCTACAGCTCGTCAGTCCTTTTCATAGAACTGATTTGCTGTACTGTGCACTAATTATCTGCATAATCTTCTATTGCCTCTATTAGAGGTTGAAAGAGTTGGCATTAAGATGCTGTTATACACGAAAAGACATACAAATGGTTCATAAGTACATGAAAAGATGTTCAACATCATTAGTCATCAGGGAAATGCAAATTGAAACCACAATGAGATGCCACTACACACTCATTAGAATGGCTACAATTTAAAAGAAAGAAATTGCAAGTGTTGGCAAGGACGCTGAGCTCTGCGTAGCCCTGCACGGCTCCATGAAGTGGACTCTCAGACATTCTCGGGGGAAAGCAAAATGGTACAACAACCACTTTGGAAGAATAGGCAGTTCATTAAAAAGTTAAATATGCACTTTACCCTAAGACCCACCAATTCCACTTACAGGTATCTACCCATGAGAAACAAAGATCTGTGTCCACACAAATACCTCTACATGAATGTTCATATCAGACTTCTTTGTAATATTCCAAACTAAAAGCAACCCAAATATTCATGATCAGTAGGAAAATGGATAACAAACCATAGTGCATCTGTGCAATCAATGGAATATTGCTGGGAGTGGGGGGAGGAACCAATTACTCATAAATGCAACAAAATGGATGAATCTCCAAAAAAATATATGCCAAGTGAAAGAATACAGGCACAAAAGGGTATGTGTTATATGATTCCATTTATCTGAAACTCTAGAAAAGAGAAATCTAATCTCTTGTGGCAAGAAAGCAGATCAGTGATTGCCTGGGACCAGGAGCGACCGGGAGATTGAGTAGGAAGGCGCAGCAGGGATGCTTGGGGGTAATGGAAATGTTTATATCTTGATTGTGGTGGTGGTTTCGTGAGAGTTTCATTCATCAAAACTCACTGAGCTCTAAATGCTTAAAATAGGTCTATAAATTATACCTCAATAAAGTTGGGGGAAGGCCGTGGATAAGATTATTACGAACAACCTCAACTTTGGATTTAAATAGATGACTTGGAGTTAACAGCACTTAAATCTAACCCAAAGTTAAAATAGAACAAATGTCAGATAAATGTTCAAAAAGGAACACACACACACACTTATATATACTCAACATACACAAGAAGCTTACATGCACTCACAGATACATACACATGCACTCACACACTCCCAGACACACACACACACACATGCATACACACAGACACACAGAGGTCACACATATATGCACTTACATGCTATTATGAGACTGTCCTGGGGACCCAGGAATTCCTGAAAACTGCCCCTAACGTGTTTTCTTAAAAGGATGGGCTATATACAACAAAGGAATAAGGCAAGACAAAGAAATGTGGTTTTGTGAGCCCTAGCTTTGTTCTCAAACCTACTACAGAGCTCATGTGAAAGGTTCCATTTCCTAGATCAGTTTGCCTTGAAAGGCATAAACCAAATAAGCCCCCATCCCTCCTCCTGCTCCCAATACCTACACCCAAGTCTCCCAGTGTGCCCTTCCCACCTATGCGGCACCACCACACCAACAAGGAGCCACAGAAGGGCAGTCACCCCTCAGGCATATTTCACTCTCTAGGGCATCAGCCACTGGTCCCAAAGCCTAATCCATGTCAGCTGTGTCCTTACTCTAAAACAGGGCTCACAGAATCAAATTCCTTCAGGGCCTGCCAGGCAAGGTCAATAAATGGGTGAAATGGGCCACTGTGAGGCAAGAGAGGGAGGGGGAATTGTGCTTGGCCCAGAAACCCTCAAGTCCTGTATAAGAAGAGCACAAGGCCAGAGCCGTCCATTGTTGGTGTTTGGGAATATGGAACCAGTATGGTCAGGATTGCTGTTTTTTTCAAAAGAAGCCAAAAATTCAGACTTCCATATCAACTTCTTAATTTTAGATACTGGCAGCAATAAAAATATTTGAAACATGGCATGAATCAAGCAAAACACACCCAGTCAATGTCCCCTTTGGGCAGAGACCATGGCACTGTGTAAGGGCTGTATTCCCTGAAGGAAGGAATGGGCTTAGCCTCCCAGTCAACGCATGAATCAATTCAACATCCCCAGCAAGTCATTTTCCAGCCCATTCTCAAAATATCCAATGACTGGGAGACTGACCACTCCATCATGGGACTGTGTGCTCTCCCTCCTGTCCCCTTCAGCTGGCTCTGATCATTCCTTCAGGACTCAGCCAAGATGTTACCTACTTTGGGAATCTGTTCCTTATCCCTCATGTCTATCTTGGATACTCCTGATGTGTGTTTCCATGTCCTGTCCCCAGATTTCTCTTACCTCAATTCGGTCCATACTTCAATACATATCTGTCTCCCCCAGGCTGAGAGTTCCTACAAACAGAGATTAAAAAACAGTGGTTAGCACACATAGTAGGTACATCAGCTAGCATTTTCTGATTGCAAGTGATAAAAATTCCATCAGACTCCATTCAATGCTCAGGAAATGTATTCTCCATATAAGTGACCAGGAAGGCTCGAGAATGACTTGAGTCGGGGGTTCATACAACGTCAACCACGCCCGTCTCACCAGTCTCTCCTCTGTACTCAACTTCCCTGTCAGCACCCAGGCAGTAGCAAGACAGTGACCAAAGAGAGCTGATCCCAAGTGTATTTGGATACCTCATGATAATAATCCCTTTTATAGATGAGTAAATAGAGACTTGAAGATGTAAAGTAGCATGCTCAGGGTCACATAGCAGTGAGTTACAGAAGGGAGGAAGCCAAGTAAGCTATTGGCCTCCAGCCTGTGCATTGAACACCATGCAATTGTGCCTTTTTCCTAGTTAGCTCCAGAAACGGCCTCTTACATCCAGGCAACTTTGGTTTAAATGGTACAATTGCAGGTGGCTGGGAGAGATACCACCCTCCTCTATACCACCTGTGATGTCAACAGAATACAGAGGTGGAGGGAGCAGAATAATGTCAAAAAAGAGAAGTGCAACAGGGACACCCATCCATGGCACACCTGGATCTCAACCACTGGCAGAGAGGGGTTCCCTGTCATTTGGTGTGATTTCTGAGCTCTTCCTTGGCCACTGTCCTCCAAGACCACATTCCGTATGGGCAATGGGGAAGATGTAGCCTTTGGAAGCAGCTCTCTATCTGATGGGGTAGTGGGACCCACCAGTTGATTTCCTTGGATGATGAGCATCTTAGATAGGTTATTGGACAGATGGATGTCTCTCTTACTGAAGAATCCTCAGATCTTTGGGAAGTTATTGGTGTCCACCTTCTGTCTGCTCCATAGTTACACCTGAAGCCCCACTGTTCATGAGCCATAGTCTTTGAATGCACAATCTGCCAGTGCTCTGACCAGGCCCCCAGCCAAATCTGGCTGGTCTCCATCTTGACCCCACATCCCTCAGGAAAAACAATGGCCTGGAGGCTGGGAGTGGAGTCTTGGTTCTTTGATCCCAGCTGCTCTGAGCAGGGGGCTCATCACAGGGGGTGCCTGGGAAAGGTCTAGAGGACTCACATGTTTCTGGGTTGCCGCTCTCCTATCTTCTTGGATGCTACTTTTAGTTGGGAAAGATCATTCAGCTTTCTAATTATGCAGGTCTCCACATTTCTGATTCTCAGCTGTTATGGATTTCAGGTCACAAGTAGGGAATGGATGTCCCAGGAGATCTCACCAGGAGCCTAATATAAATGTGGCTGGCTTTCAAGAAAGCCACATTCAACCTAAGCTTGTCACTGTCTACAGGACCTTACTAAAGGTCACTTCTATTTAACAAGGACTTCAACCTTTCAGCCCAGGAACCATGAGTCCTCACCACCCAGGGCTGCCACTCAGCCAACTCCACATGTGTGCTCTGTCACCTGTATACCCCCACTCCTAGAACTAATATCTTCATCCATTTTGTTCAAAATAACAAAGGAAACAAAACCAACAGAAGTGAATATAAGTATATGGCCTCATAGATGTGAAAATGCTGAACTGGGGCTCCAAGAACAGCTAGATCCAGGAGCTCACGCAAGCACGGGTGTGGTTTTTTGGTTTCTTGGGTCTGCTGTCTTCCACATTTTGTTTTCTTCTCCGGTGTTCTATGGTTGTGCATGGATCCAGACCCCCCACATCCTCACCAATTATTATCCAGCAGGTTAAAGCTAGAACTTTCTTCTTCAACAGTCAAAGAAAAACTCCAAATCCTCTCTTATTGGTCTAAATTGGTCATGCGTCCATTCTTGAACGAATTACAGACGATCCCTGACTTACAGTGGTTTGACTTAAAGGTTTTTTTTATCTTAACCATGGTACAAAAGAGATACACATTCAATAGAAATCACACTTGGAATTTCACATTTTGATCTTTTACTGGGAGAGCAATGCCATTTGATCCTCTCTTGTGATGCTGGGCAGGGGCAGAGAGCCACAGTTCCTGGGCAGCCCTGTGATCGCGAGTGGAAACCACCACTGTGTTCTGCTGCCAAGATGGGATGTTTCATAGGTTAAGTGTACTCAATGCATTTTCAACCTAATGGTTTTTTCAACTTAAAACGGGTTCTTCAGTACATAACTCCATCCTAAGTCAAGCCAGAGAGATCCAGTGCTCTGATTGGCCAGCACGGGTCACATGCCCACCTAGAGGCAGAGTCAACCTTACCCAAAAGACATGGGGTAAGAAAAGGGGACCTCTTCAGAAAGAGTCTGGAGTATGGCCATCTCCTACAAGATGACCCTCCTACACAGATACAGAGGAAGAGATGCTCAAGGTGAGGTGCCGGGGAAGGGGCACAGCTTCAGTGTCCTCTCTGGATTTGTGGTCTTCCAGGAACCTCCTACAGGATGGAGTAGACAAGAAATCTACATGATTGGTGCTCAGCAGGTATTCATCTTGTGAGTGAACAAATGAGTGACCAACCCTCTCACCTGAGCAGAAGAGCATTCTGGAAAGAAGGAAGACAGAGCAGTTTTCTTCTCTACTCAAAGAAGAGCTGGAGATGAGAGCATTCACATGGGTGTATGCCCCTCTGTGGCTTGGGATTACCCACCTCACTGAGGCAGTAGGCAAATGCTGAGCCCTGAGGACCTGTCTGCAGGTAGCCAGTTCTCAATGGTCTGTATGTGGCAGACACTCCCTGGATTATCCAGGTCAGTCTTTAACCCTAGCCTAGAGTCCCCTGGTACTATGGGATTCCAAACAAAACCCAGGGGGCCAGGCTACATGACTTGAAAGGTCTCTTCCTTCAATAAGCTTTGCCCCATCTACTACCATCCACAGTGCATGCCCAGGGAATGCTGGTTCACTTCCATGACTGTCTGAGCAAAGCAGACAGGAAAGCAAATCCGCTCATGGCAGGAGTCGGCAGGGCGTGGGGCTGGAGTGGGCGGCCATAAAAGTTCTCCCAGAGAAGGGCAGGGGAGGGGATGAAGAGAGGATGATTAATGGGTACAGGGGTGCAGGCAGGATAAGAGGAACAACTCAACGTTCTCTAGCACAGTAGGGTGACTGTGGTTGACAACAACTAATTGGATATTTTCAAATAGCTAGTAGAGAGGGTTTGGAATGTTCCCATCACAAAGAAACAGTAAATGTCTGGGGTGATGGATGTGCCAATTACCCCAATCTGATTGTTACACATTGTATACATGTATTGAAATGTCCCATTGCACCCCATAAATATGCACAATTATTACGTGTCAATTAAAAATAAGAATATATTGAAAAACCACCCCAGACCCAGACCTGGAGATGAGAACATGCACCTGGGTGTATTCCTACTCCGTGACTCAGGGCTGTCCATCCACCTTGCCACCTCCAGCCTCTGGCGTGGGTACTAGGATATCACATTCCTGGCCAGTGGTCGCACTGTATGACCAGAGTGTTTGTACTAACTGCCACTGACCATGAGTCCCTTCCAAACTTGCTTAGGGGCCATCATGAGTTGGGTTCCCAGAAGCAAATCCTGAGAAAGGGACACATGATCAAGGCATTCTTTGGGGGAAGGGGGTGGTTTTTGGGTGGTGGAACCCGAAGAGACCAGCCAGGTAGTGGGACAGTTGGAACAGGAAAGAAGACAAAAGGACTGGTTTCAGAAGTCCAGCCTCAGCCTGAACCCCTGGAATGCTCTGGAGTGTAGGTTAAACCGCAGAGCTGTTTGCTTTCCCGTCTTGGGGCAAAGGTACTGGGCTGGATTTCCCATACTGCCCTGCCTACTCCCAGGCAGGCTGGGTGGCGAAAAGGAAAGGTCTGTTTTGTCTTTCCTCAGCTCTCAGTCAGCACACAAGGTGTCTGGCCCTGGATGTGTAGGGGGCAGTCCCCACACACCAAGCCATCATTTCTAGAGCAGAGACCAGCTGAGCATCCTCTAATGTTGCATTTAGTTATTTACTTATTGGTACCGGGGATTGAACCCAGGGGCACTTAACCACTGAGCCACGTCCCCAGCCCTTTTTACATTTTATTAGAGTTGCTTAGGGCCTCGCTAACTTGCTAAGGCTGACATGATCTCCTGCCTCAGCCTCCTGAGTCTCTGGGATCATAGGTGTGTGCCACCGCGCCCAGCAGCCTTCTCTAATTTAAACCATTTCTGACACCGTCTACCAGGAGGCAGCTCTGATCCCACAGGTGGGGGCCCAGTCCCCAAGACTTCCCTCTTCCACACACCAGATGCCAGTCTCAGCCCCAGGTTGTTTTGCCTTTGCTTCTGGCCAGGAATCACACTATAAATGGGTGTTCCTGCAGCCCCCTACCTGGGTACAATTAAATTGCTTAAGCAGCTCAAGGAATGCAGGGAAACATGGTTCTGGTTTATTATTAAGGAGTCAGAAAGACTGCGGATGAAGAGAGGCTCACGGTGAGGTGCAGGGGAAGGGGCAGGGAGCCTCCATACCCTCTCTGGATGTGTCGTCTTCCAGGAGCCTCTACCGTCTGGAGGCTCCCCAAACCGTGTCCTTGTGGGGTTTTATGGGGACTTCATTGCATAGGCATGAGTGCTAACAGACCCGGTGGGGGAACCCAGCAAGGCCTGTCCAGGATTCTTCTTGGCCTCTCGGTGCAGCATCCTCCCTCCAGGGCGTGGGGCCGGGCCCTCTGGAATGAGGAGGGTCAGTAAGAATTCCTTTATGATAAGCTCTAAGACAGGAAGGCAGGAAAGGCCAGAGTGAGAAGAGAGCCTCTAGTTTTTATGGCCTGATTTGGGAAGGGAGTTATGAGTCAGGAATCACGTTCAAAAACAAAACAAAACAAAATCCGTGACATAATAACACACACGCCCAGCTGTGGTGCTTCCGGGGCCCAGGAGTGATCCTTGAGGTTCTGTAGGTGTGAACTGCAGGCAGAAGAAGCAGGGACCAGCGCACAGAAGCGGGGACCCAGGCCAGCACCACC